GAGGCCGAAAGTTTGCTCTGATTAATACGTGACCAGACTCAAAAATGTCAAATTTCAGTTATTATAGCGTGAGTAGGGTTACGATGAAGAAAAAAAATTTTTCGCTTCACCCTAGCACGAGCAGTCTTGTAATTACTTGTCATTGTTCGGACTGTTTTCGAAGAAAGTGACGGATGTTTCGTGCTGGGGTGTTTTTTTCTCGAGACAAACTTTGTTTTACTAACCAGTCAATTTGACAACAATCTTTGTTCAATCTGAAAAGTATTGTTGTCCTGAGCCCAAAGTGGAAAAAGATACTGCACTAGCGATTGTTTTTATTAAAAGTATGGGGGCTTAAGTTTGACTAATTTGGGACAATTACTGCTCAACCTAACTCGCGCTGTTCTGCAGAGAATTAATCATTTGTCTAAATTGATCCAAATAGTTTTGAAGCATGATATGTGGACTAATTTTTTTTGCTATATGAGAAATGCATTACTATGTACTTTAAATCACATGTGCGGAGATGCTTGAAAACTTTTTTTTTCAGTTGATTTATATTTTATGAAAAATTCTTTAACATTTTCAAAGAAAACACTGCTTCATGAGCCTGAAAAGGTGATCTGAATATTCATGGCTTCGCCCTGATACGAGCAGTCCTGTTGTACATAAAAGGACAAAATCTGAGTCCTTTGCTTGTCAAGAATGTCCTGATCAAAGGTAAAATATATCCCCAAAGCAAATTTAGAGGTTCTATTTTGTAACCTTCACCAAAAACTTGAAGCCAAAAAATGAGTATCTAAATTTGAAAAAAAAACTTTTTTTTGTGAAAATTTTGAAGTCGTATTTCTTGAGATATTGGTTCGTCATTTTTTGTCCTATAAATACATTTTTAAAAGTCTTCAGCTTTCATGGTCGAACATAACAAACCCTTCCTTTTGCGGTTGGTAAGAAAACTTTTCAGTAGCAGAACTAGTATCCTGACAGGCCGAAATGCTGCAATATGATTTGCAGGCCTGCAGAGCTCTGCATTTTCTTCTCAACTTCTGTATCGTCTATGAAATTATCTATTTTAAGCAGCTTTTAGTTTGACGACCCTCTATGACGGAAATTGTATTGAAACTGTCATTAATTTTTGTTAAGTAAATTGTTGCAATTTTAAGGCATGAACTTAAATAATCCGCTCAATTTGATTTTAAAAAAATAGTATTTTCGCTTATTTTCTTCTATATTTTAATATTTTGATTCGCAGTTAGCGATCGAACCAATTGATATTCTTTGACAGGACCTGGCTGATCTTGTGTAACAAAAAATTTGATTAGCTATCATTCTCATTTTTAATCTACAAATCCAATTATCTGAGGCGAATAATTTCAAATTGACCTGATCTGCTAAACTAATTAGAAGTCAATTTCTTGTTTGACAGGTTTATAGTTGTATTAATCAAATTGACGTACATGGCTTACATAAAGCTAGCTTACTAACCCCACTTCCCTTACAGTTTACGATTTCTCCCTAAGTTTTTTACTGTTGAACGGGCGAAAGTTTTGCTCGGACCAGGACGGAGCCTTGAATGCTTTGACTGCATGATCAAAAACCAACACCTCACATGATATGTAAAGCGTAAAGTGATTTTTTTTGCACTTATTATAGCATAAGTAGACCATTTAGCATGCCTGAATTCAGTTTTGAAGGATTTCTAAGATGCATTTATTTTACGCTTAAGCGTTAATTGCACGAAAAACATTGTGAACCTTTATAAGTCCTCATTTTCACAGGTGAAATCTATTTGATGTTTGATATCAGTATATCAAAACCCATCGGATGATATAATAGATTTCCAAAATAAGAGTTAAAAAATCAAAATTTGTCGCGCGGTTCAAAAGCACCCGGGCATAAACATTCAGCCACTTTCTTTGAAATTCAGAATAATAATGATAAATGGTTTCAAGAGGGGAACAACACTTCTCATATTTGTAAAAAAAAACCCGATCTGTTTCTTAAATTCAATTGGTTATTAAAAACAAACTTATATGAGAAAAGTTGATATTTTTTCCTCTCCAGGATCTTCTTCTTTTTGAGCAGTACCGCTTCAAGAAAAACCTATTATGCATATTCTTTTACTTGTGCTCAAATATATTAAGCTATTAAACAAACTTCAAAAATTTCGAAACCCCATCTTAGAAAAACATCAAAACAACAAATTAGTTGGCTAGAAAAAGTTTCTATCATGCTATTTTTCGACCAGTTTTTTTGACAGTTATTGTCAACTGTTTTAGGAAGCTCAATTTCAAAAGGATGACGATTTTTTGACAGAAAAAGTGTTCAGTCGAAGCCAGTTTTAATTTAGATCAAAACGAGGCCATTGAGGTGCTTTTGTATCACTGAATGAAAAATATCTATTTCACTGGACTGGCCAACCCATCTTAACTCAGGGTTCCAATTTTTGATCTAATTTGATTTTAATTATTTAAAAAAATTGAAGCCCTGAGTCATTATGACTAGCATTTTTTACTAGAATTGGTCGTGGCAAAGCTTTTTTCACTTCTATGAAAGTGCATTGAGTTAAGATGGGTTGACCATTTCAGCGAAATCTGTTTTTCTCAATCAGCGGTACAAAAAATAATGGATATAACTCGAGAAACTTTTTTTGAAAAGCAGGAATAAATTATGGTATACCACAGAGACCGTTTTGAGCTAATTTCTATTCATTTTATAGGTAAATGACTTACAGAAAAGCAACAGCCCTCAGCAAATTATAAACTTGTTTTTTATGAGGAAAATACACTTCAAATTAATTTTTCCATTAAAAGGTCTTTAAGCAAATTATCAAAACATTTTGGACGAAACTAGTTTTGCTTCGCATGCAGCAAATTAACCTTCAACACAGAGAAAATCAAAAATTGTTTTTTTTGATGAAAAAATTCTGTTAAATTTTCTACAGATTTAACAATCAGTGACGCAAAAATAGAAAAACTCAATTGTTTCAATAATCTTGGGATAATTTTAGATAAAAAAGTGAGCCTAATAAGTTCTATAGAAAAAGTAAAAGGCACTGTGGGCATTTTTCTAGATTGAGAAATTTTTATGACCAAAACTGAACTGGTTTTTTGGCCTATATTTTTTTCAGTCGATTTTACAGCACGGAATTTTCGTTTACGCTACAACTAATAGAACTAAATTGGAAAACCAAGAATTACTACTGAAACGTCTTGTTATTTGCTTATGTAAAAGAAAAAAAATTGAGTCAAGCAAAAACAAAAGACAACAAAAAAAACTTATACTAGTAGATAATGACATACTTAAGAAAGGCTAAAATTTTTAAGCCTCGAAATATGGAGTGAATGCCAATCTGAGTTTTTTGTCAAGTAAATACTACAAAAAATGCATCAAAAGGGCTCCACTAAAAGAATATATCAGTAACAGCTACACTGCTCTAATTTTGCAAATATGATGAAATGTTTTAATGACCAGGAGCTAAACAACTTCAACTATCAGTTTTTAGATAATTATTATAGAACTAATAGCGACATGATCAATCAGGTAATTTTGAGCCTCACATTAGTGATTGTGATTTTGCTTCCTTTATTAGTTTTTTTCTTGCAAGCCATCAACTTCTAGTTCTACCAAAGAATAAAAACTTGCTCATCCATTTTTTTGTGAGAAAGTTGGGCTCTCAGCCCAAACTTTACCCTTTTATTTCAAAAATCCTTAATTCTTGATATTCAAAAATAACTGTAGTTGATTTGCGCTCTGATACGCCCGAAAAAAAAAACAAAGTTTAATATTTTTGCGCTCTCTCAAATGATATTTAATTATTAGTTTTTCAATTGCATTTCACTTGAAAACAATTTCGTTATCATTATGATTACTATAGTCATGATTATTTTTACGATTTTTAAAATAATTATAGTTATTATCACATATCCAAAAATAATTGTGGAAATTTAGATATTCCAAATAACGCTTTATTCGATGAGAAACGTATCAATTCCCACACAAAATTCTCATGGACTTCAATTGCTACTTGGTTATCCAAGACAAAAATAATCCGTCATGATCCATCACAGAAAATTCAGACCACCAAATTGATTCTTTTGTCATTAGAAGTCCATATTTTTGAACCAAAATCGATTTGATTTTGTCAAGATAATTTTTTGTAAGCATTTATGTTTAGGGGAAAAAATCAATTATAATCGATTGTCCTTACGAGGCCAAACTGTGCACTGGATAGGCGCATAATTTTGTGTCTGTATGTTCCTGGATTCCAGAGACAAGTCTTTAAACTTGTTAAAATTTTGTCGGAACGATCAAAGGAAAGTAAAGAACAAAAAAAAGAACAAAGGGAGTGTCCTTTTTGCGGAATCCGCTCACAATGTACAAAATGCACAGTTTGGCCTGGTAGTGGTAAGTTATTATCTTAAGAATTAAGTTTTGTTTATTTTGCAGAAAGTCTATGCCATGTCTTTTACATTATAACAAGCAAGAGATTTAAAAATTCAAACTCACTAAACCGTTCAATCCTCTTGCTTACATAGTTTTTCTATCCCACTTCCCCTCCAATTTACAATTTACCCCTCCCTTTCATAAGTTTTTTACTATTGAATACTCAATGCAAACTCCACTTATTTTACAACCGGAGGGGATGAGTAAAAGGGGGTGCGGTAAAAGACCTGGAGATTACATTGAGTATCCAGCCCCCTCGCATTTCAATCATTAAGCATCAACCGTTCAACCATTCTTGTACTTGGGGGGGGGGGGGGGGGGGGGGTAATCCGGAGGGCGAATGGCGATTGTGGTACCTTAACAATAGTGAGAACAAAAATTGCAGCCTTTTTTCGAAAGTAAGAACAATAAAGTTTTTTAAATTTTTTTTGCCCTGGGATATATATGTTTCTATCAATTTCATCTAACATGATTCAGCATTTGTTTTATTCAATAATTCGCAATCTCAGTCAATCGGCCATACATATCCACAACAGCCATACTTATTGTCCATACATTCCCAATTTGTCTTTCGTACACAATATAGACAAGGGCAGTGTCCCCCCTTGGGGTCATAGTATGGCTTAGTGGCCACAGAAGAGTAGTCAGATGGACCTGGGAAAATAAGGAGTGAGTTTTTCCAATGATTGGCCGAGATTAGTGGACCACTGACAGTGTCATATCGACCCTGAAAAACGAGAGACTGTTTTATAACCAAACGAAAAATATTGAACGCTTTCAATAAAAGATATCGATCTTGTTAACTAATGATTTTATAACATTGGTTCGGCCCAAAATCTGATTGATTTTGATGACGTTATACGGTTTTATTACATATTTTTGTGCTGAAAATCTATTGTATTAGGACCCAAAAGCATGGTTTTCAACATAGTTTTGGCTTGGCTTTTCAACTTGATTTATATTCATAATATATAAATTATGAATAAAAATTATGAAAAATATTCAAAAGCACATAATTTTCAAAAACATGTTTTATCAGAAAAAAAATGATTTAAATCGATTTGAATTGAAATTTTAGTCTATTAAATAGATCTTTTTGACCCAGAAAGTCTATTCAAACCAATTTAAATTGATTTCGTTGAGATTTTGATAAATTTCACGACTAAAAATCCATTTAAATCAATTTAAATAGAATTTTTAGGCAAATAATTTTTTTTCTACCGTAAAAATCCATTCAATCCATTCTAAACATTGAAGGGGACCCATTAACACCATTGAAGGGGACTCATTAGCAAGCAGTGGGGCGAACTCCCGAAAAGAAAGAGCATTCTCGCCACCGCCCCTTCTAGATTCTGATGCTGCCTCTCAGCTTCTGGACCAAAAAATTACCTTTAGAAAAATTTTCTCGATGCTCATCTTTTGCCGACCAGTCCTAAAGTTCTCAACTAAAACAAAAAATTTTGGCAGCAATATTGACCAAAAAGGAAAATGCCTAAAATTCCAGTGTTTTTGGTAAGGCTTTCTACGAAAAAAAAAAATCTCTTTTTGACCAATTTTTTCAATAAGGAGGAACAGAGACATCAAAAAACATAATTGTGTCGTTTTGTATGTATCAATTTGTATGATTTCAAAAACGGTCCTTGGAGTTTTTATCCCTTTTCTTAAATACAAGCCTATCCATGCAGATCCACGACTACAGATTCGCCCCTGCATTTATTTGGCCTTCTCTAATGTTGTTGGATAGTTTGAAAGTTTGAACAATGGATATAACCTTATTTGACTGACTCTTTCATTGATCATTTCCCATTTGGTTTTGCCCGATGGTGTTGGTTCATTCATAATAAGTTAAATGAGTTCTCAAGATTTGATTTTCGAAACTCGCAAATATGTAAGTATTGCTTGGAAAAATTGATGACTGGATTGGTGTCACAAAACAGTACTTCAGGGTGATAGTACTCGCCCTTTGGTTGGCGAGTATGTCGAACCCCTGTTAAATTCCAGACAATTGATACAAAGCTTACCTTTTTTCTGGCAATAATTAAACCGAATTTGGATTTGGCCGACCTACAAAAAGTTTATCGATTTTTCTATGAAAATCATTTCCCCCTCCCCTCGCAAAAACACTGGAACTGTCGCTCTTTAATCATACGCAAGTAAAAGGATTTTCAATTTCCAATTAACTTAGTGACCTGTTGTTAGCGTTATTCGGGTTCGTGAACAGCAGAGTTTTGTTGTCAAAAAGTGCCAATCCAGCCGCACACGCTGGGTCCGGCAGGTCTTCGTTGATGCGAACGAACTCAGTCGGAAACGTCTCGCCACCATCCTTCGAAATCATCGTCATTCGGCATGGACAGTGAAAATGGTTCTGCATCAAGTTCTTTTTTAGCTTTTTTTATAAAAAAAAATTGATCAATCAATTGTGTTGTCGCTTATTTGCTACTATTTGCGATTCAATATCAAAAATATACTTAATCCCTGTTAAAACTGGATCCCTGTTAAAACTGGGTTAGAAAACCGTAGTTTGTAATAACCGACTTTTAATAATATTAGCTTTTATATTATATTTGCATAGATGAAAATAGATTTTGTAGGATTTCGTACAAGTATAATCAGATAGGAAAACTAAAAAAGATCCCTGGTTCCTAGCATTGACCATCAAATCTCCATTTGGCAATTCTACCATTGTAACTTCATCGGGTAAATAATCACCTGAAATCAGACTCCAAAATTTACTTGAATAAGCTGAATCTATAGCTCAAACCACATATCTTTCATAAAAATAAAAAACATTCACAGTTTTTTGATCCGAATTACTTGAATGATTACTAACAAATTATTCTCAGTTTATCTAGCTCACTCGCACGAAAAAACGCACACAAATACTTCTTCCATTTCGCTGTAAACAATCTTTTCCCGCAAAATGAAAAGTAGGAGTTTTTGTTTCAATCAGTAGAATTTTTGCCACCTACCTTCGACTTTGTCTTGCTCAAATGGGATACCCAAATGGGGTTTCCCTAAAGTCCAGTTGTCGCCGTGGTCGTCACTGAAAACACAGTAAACTCCATCGACCAAAATGGGTTCGGTATGTCCGCATGCAATTAGGCGTCCTTTGTTAGGAGGATATCTTTTTTGAACTCCGAGAGACGGTCCGCCACAGTATTCAAAAGCTCCTGCAAAAAATACAAAAAGACAAAAAAAATTACGATTCATATACATTTTTCAAAATATATTCAGCCACTGAGTAAATCTCAATTGCTCAAATTTAACCAGCAAAACTGATTGCAATCACAAAACTGCTAATTTTCCGTTAATTTGGTTTTTTGTTGGAAGTTTTAATAAGCAGCGCTTGTGGTGAGGTTTTCAATGGTTTTCTGTGGCATTGATTGTCGTAATTGCATTGATTGAGATTAGGAAAAAATCTCGTAATCAATTTGAAGCCGAAGTCACAAACATCTTTGTCATATTTTACTAAGCTCACTATCGCCATAACTGAGTTTTTTAAACTGCATTCCCATTTGTCGTCGTTTTTTGCCCAAAAGATGAAAAAATTTTCAAAAACTATTTTTTTCTTCTTGTTGCTAAACTTACAAAAACTGCATGTAACTTATTAACCTATTTGAGATGAGATGTTGACTGGCTTAGACCAGGTTCGACCATCGTCCAGTGATTTGCTGACGTAATTGGACCACTTATTTCCCGGACAATCTTTAGAACAGGCGGTGAAAATGACCAGGATAGATCCTTTCTCTGCGTCCACAATCAAGTTGCCCATGAAAATTTTGCCACTGTCAGGAGACTCAAAAATAGTTGAGATCGGCGACCTAATGGAAACGTAAGTCGTTTTTGTAAACACCTTTTCGATTTTCGAAAAAAAACCCAGCGAAATATTAATATCCCAGTTGAAATATTAGATATAAACTCTTTAAAAAATTCATCACAAACTTTTATAAACGTTCACAATTGGAACATTCAAAGTTTTGCTTTGAAAAAACGAGCAGTCAATTTTAAATTTTTATGCTGCACTAATAATAAATAACGTAGAAACTGCTCAAAACTGCTTTCGTACCAAGTGATGCCATTGTCCTCCGAGTACTTGTAGGCGATGTTCTTGGGAACCCCGTCGCTAGTTCCTCCGAGACGCTGCTCCAACACCACAACCAACGTGCCATTCAGAGGTCCAATTGCAACCACTGGGATCCGGTAGTTTAACCCAGACTGTGGAAACCCATTTTGCATAACTGTTACGTCATACACCAGCACAGGGTTCAAGTCACGTGGGAAGGCTACCTTAATAGCCAAAAAACAAACTAGCAGGAAAACATCTGCCTTAAGTGCCTTCATTATCAATAAAAAACGGATGAAAGATTCGAACAGATGTTTTGTCAATGAATTAAGTTCCACTTGATTGGATAAAACAAATTTGATTTTACTGTTGATACAATGTCTGAGAATGATAATTTTGCATAAATGATGTTAGAATTTGCTGGTTACTTGAAATTGCTGGCCTCGAGATGTAAGTTAGCCATTATAAGGATGGCTAATTGGTTTAAAAGCGACCCCGTACCCAGAAAATTTTCTGTGCAAGTTCTGAAATTCTCAAAATTTTACATATATTGATTCTTAGATCTGAAATTTTTTATTTCAGATCTTGAAAATGTGAAACTCAGATCTTAAATAGAAATCTTCAGATCGAAATAACCTTGAAAATCAAAATTTCAAATCTGAAATTAGATCTGAGAAGCCCTTTGTTCAATTATGATTTATGCAACTTGAGCAAACCATTTTTTATTTTTTTAGTGTTTCTGAAATACACACTTGTGTTTAACTTACTTAGCGGTAAGAGAAGCTTCCAAACAATTTCACAGACAGTTTTTTGAACAAAATTTCTTGTTAAACCGTCTTATAATCTTTTTCGAAAACTGTAAGAAGGACTAAAAACTTTTTGATATCAAGAATTGATTTTTCAGATTTGAAATAACCACGAAAAACTAAATTTCAGATCAGAAAAAGCTTTTTTTCAGATCTGAAATTGGATATGAAATAACCCATTCCTAAAGTATCCAAGCGTTATTTTAACATTTCACAACCCATTTCAGATCTAAAATTAAGATCTGAAAATGATTATTTCAGATCTGAATTAGAACAATAACTAGGTACGGAATCTCATCTCGCAACAAGAACCACCTCGCAACAATTTTTTGAAATTGAGCATGGGTGATGCGGATTTTGAAATTGAGTTTGGCTGGTGCGGATTTTTGAAAGCTTGGGTGGTGAAAGAACAAAAAAAGAATAAAGGGAGCGTCCTTGTTGCGGATTCCGCTTACATATCTCAAAATCCACAGTTTGGCCTCGTACTGTTGATCAGATGAGCTTTCTTTTCGATTTAAATAAGAATTAAATTGGGCAAAGAAAAGATAAGAAACAAGATTAGTTCAAAAATAAGGGGAAAAAATTTCACGCGGAAAAAAAATTCCCCTATTTTTCCTAAATAAGGGGGAAAAATTCTTGATATAAATACTCCAAAAATTGGGGGGAAAATTTCACGCGCATTATAAGGCCTAAGGGCCAGATTTTGCTAAGATTTTTGTCCTTTTCGTTTCAATTTCAATTTGGAATGGTTTCTAAGCATGAATTATTCACTCTTATGGAAAATAGGAAAAATATTGCCATTTGATTATCCACAACTCAACAAACTTGCTATTTTCGGAAATCCATTGCTATTGAAAAATAGTCAACATGAAAAGTTTTGAGCTCAGAAGAACGATATTTTTCAGATAGTTTGAAAAAATTCAGTCCAAAAACGCTAAAACTAAACTTCGAAATTGGCGTGAAAAACAACACTTTAAGCGGAAACGTATCATCATTGTATTCAAAGATTGGAACAATAAAATTCGGTATTTCAGATGCTGATTTTAAAGATGGATAATTAGATACTTTCAATTAAGTAATGATTAAGTTGGTCCGACTACTTTTTGAACGAAGTGAAGGACTACGGCGTATAGGTTTGTTTTGTCCTCCCGATATCGCCAATCTCAAAGAAACTCGTAGAGAGTATAGTGTGATATCATATTCAGACCGTTTTGTTTGTAACATGTGTTCCAAAAAAAGGTTTCATAGTGTTGAGAAAACTGGCAGAATCTTCTTCGTTTTTCAGACTGGATCATCATGAAATTTACGAATGACACTCAATTAATGAAAATAAATGTCAATTTACTTTTATTACAATAGAGACGTTCTTTCAGCTTTCTTCAAAAATATTGATAAGTTTTTATGTTTAGTTCAAAAGCGTTTCAATGAAAAAAAACCACTAATTGAAATAACTTTTATATTCGAATTTACGATATTTATTAGCTTGTTCATTTTGATGATTGTGGCCCAAACATATTCTGTTTAATTTTGACAGCAACCGGTTATTTCTGATCAGGTAAATTGTTTTCTAGATGAAATAACTTTCATTTTGAGTACTAGGCGTTTAAAAAAGCGCTTCATGAGTTTAAAAAGTAAAAAAATTTCAGTTCACTTTTTGCTTTCTAGATCATCATTATTAGAAAAATGCTAAAACGTATCTAAAATTTTTTTAATGCTCAAGCTAGTTAAAATTGCACATAATCAGTACTAAAAAATGATTAAAATTTTCAAAGCCAACAATAAAAAAGTATTGAAAAGATTTGATTCTTGAAAAATGTTTCAATTGAAATGATCTTGAGCTTTTTTTTCAATTATGAGAAAAATTAAGATGAGGTTATTATTCTTGATGAGTTACAAATACGTTAGAATGAATTGGCTTGAACCATATATTTAGCCATTTGTGCGAACATATATCATCTTAAAAAGGCTTAACATCAGTACTGTATAAGTCTGCTATACATAAAATTGAAAAATAACTCGTTTTGCCGCAAAAAACGATTGGTTAAAAAACAACCCAATTTAAGGAAAACTATCGTCAGCAATGCAAAAAGAATAGCTCCAACAGAATGACTATCGGTAAATCAGAGACGATTCATCAAATAAATTTTTCAAACAGTCTTTAATGTAAAATTTTGTTTGATGTGTCTATGTTCCGGTATCATGACTATGAAAGCTTTTGTAAAAATCCCTATAATGCAACTCCTTGCCAGAACAAATGATCCAAGTTTTTTTCAGCGGAATTAAAATAACTTGAGCAAACGCCCCATGATCCCATGATTTTTTTCTTTATTAATTTTGCTTTTTTGAAACAAATTACCAATGCCAATAAACTCAAATTGGAAATTACTGGACAACACGAAAACTAGTGCGAAGTGCTGAGTTTCGAAGTTGTTTTTATTGAAAAAAATTGAAACCTTTTGTTTCAGCTAGGAGAAAAATTAAGAAGGGTTATTTATCTGTATAAATTACAAATAAGTTAGAATGAAGCGGCATACAGCGTTTAATTAGTCGTTCGTGGTTTTTTTTCCTGCCAACATAAATTATCTTAAAAAGATGTATACTTAAACTTGATTTGAAAAAAAAACTTGCTTTGAAAACTGTAGAAATCTGAGATATTCTCTTTTCAAAGATATTCATCAAAAGCTCGGGTTATGCTCGAAACTCTTAAATTTTTTCGCACTTTTGCTCAAAAACTTAAAAATTTGTCTGAAGAAAATTGGTTTCTTAAGTTTCTGGCGCTTTCTTATAATATGAGATCTGGTTTCTTTGCGGCGAATACGTTCACTGAAAAACGAAGTCTTCGGAAACACATGAACAATTGAAAGAGGAAAGCGTTGTGGAACTTTTTCCTTTTATAACGATACGACACCCCCACCACACAAACTATACGATAACGTTTTTATGCAGCATTTTCCCTACATTTTCACCTGAACGAGTTTATAGAGTCCATAATAAAAATAATTCTCGAACATTTTCGAACTTTTTTCTCTAAAATTGGGTTCCATTTAGACAAATTTTATGAGAGCAGAAAATCATTAGAACTTCATCAGACTTTCTTAATTTTAAGTTATTTTGAAAGTTTCAGACTCTAAACTAGATCTTCGACACGGGCGATTTCGTTTGATCAAATATAGGCAAAAAAACGGTGTTTTGATGTTGTTTTTTTTTCATTAATTGGCCGTATTTTTTTAGCTTAGTTTCGAACCAATTTGACCCCTTTGAAGGTGCAACCAAAATTTCAGAAATTATACCATTAAAACTCTGGAAGAGATCCGTTCAATTTTTGCACCCTTCATTCTTTTCCTTATGCAATCTTAATTTGCTCAAGACGAGCAACATAAAAAACTCAATTTTAATTGATTCAAGGAGCTATAACAAATCAGTTTTTATGAGCCTGCTAAACCAAAAATTGAGAAAAGTTCGGTAGACTGTAAAACAATCCAATTTAAGAAGACTATCATCAGCCTTCTAAAAAGAGAGGATACTGAAAAAGTTTTTTTTATAAACACCGTACAGTGTAAAAAATTTGCTTGATGATTTTCATGTTCTGGTTTTTTTTATTAAAAATGCATTTTTCAAATTTTCTCATACAAGCATCTTCCTCCTTAAGCAAACGCCCCGTGGTTTTTTCTTTTTCTTTTGTTTTTCAGCGAAATTAACCAAACTTTTGAAACTTTGTTGATTTTGCAGATTGCAATTGACATGAGACTCAGACAATTAACATAAAATTAACTGCCCATAACTTACAAGGAGAACATATGAGATGGAAAACTGTCTCGTTTGATGAAACATGAAAACAATTTTTTCATATTTTGTCCATCTTCTCAATAGTGTTCATTGAGTTTCAGGTTTCGACCCATAAAAAAACATGTATTTAACAGTCCTTTTTTGTTATGTTGAGGTTTTGCTTTGCGTAGTTTTCTGATATGTTTTCAAATCTTGGTTTTTGTTTTCAGCTTTTGTGTTTTTCAAGATAAATCTTTTCTATCCCCTCTGATATTTTTTATTTTATCTAGATAATTTTCGTATTCTTTAAATTTAACAGTAAATTTAAATGTAGCTGAAGTTTGAAGTTTCAGTTTTGAGAGCCTCTTATTTGCTGGTTCGTACAATTGTTGTGGACACAGTTCCTTTGTAATCATAATGAGTTTTTAAAAAAAAGAAGTTTTTTGCCTTCTGAGAAATCGAAAAAAAATCTTTTCTCTTCAAGCCAAAATTCTGGAAATTTTGACTAATTTTCAACAAGAATGTATAAACTTTTAAAAAAACAGAGTTTTAATAGAACAAAAGTATTATCATAGGAATTAGTAAAATCAAACAATCAAGTTTTCATCCTTGAATTATACTTCACAACATTAAAGACTTTTATTTACACTTTTTTCGGGTAAATTGCGACTCTAGGAATAACATTTTTTTTCAATTATTTGCCGATAATTTGAGAAATACAAACCTTGATAAATCTCACTTGTACTCTTAGTCGCT